AAAAGCCGGAAGTGGTGCTATGGCTCACGTGGTAGAGTGCTAGCCTTGAGCTGAAGAGCTGAGGGACAGTGCCCAGGCCCAGAGTTCAGGCCCCAGGACCCCCCCCCAAAAAAAAAAAGAAAAGAAAATGTCATTAAATCTATAATCAGTTCCTATAGCTGTTACTATCTTTTTCTTTTTGCCCAAGACTGGGACTCAAATCCGGTATTTTTTGCTCAATGGCTGGCCTCTAGGGCCACCCTCTAATCCATCACTATCTTTTGCACTATTCTTTCTTTGCATAAAGTACTAGTTTCTTACTTTTATTACTACAATCTTGACCATTAATTCCAAAAAATATTTTTAATACACAATACCGTAGAGTGGCTTCAACAAATATCTGACGTAATCTTGCTTCAGTCTCACCATAAAATCTGTAAAAAAAAAAAAATTTTTAATGCGGACTGCTACTGTTTTTAAGTATTATCTATAAGCATTATTTATAAAAACTGAATAATGAACTATTTCTAGAAATCTGAAAATTACTTTCAAAACTTATTTTCCAAACTTCTTTTTTTTCTGGAGCTAGAGGATTTGAACTCAAATCCTCATGCTCCCTCAGATTCTTTGCATTCAGCTGGCACCTCTACCAGATGAGCCTTGCCTCTGGCCCTGATTTTGTTGGTTACTTTGGATATACTACCTCACAAATATTTCTGCCAGGCTGGCTTCAAACTGCCATCCTCTGTATCTCAGCTCCTGAATAAGCAGGACTACAGGTGTGAGCCACCAACACCTGGCTCCAAAGTTAGCATTTATAAATATTAATAAGCAAGAGCATACATATAATCCCAGCTTCATGGAGTTACGGGTAGGAGGGTCATGGTCTAAGGTTGGATTCAGGCAAAAACTGCAAGACTCTGAAAAATAACTAAGGCAAAAAGGGTTGAAGGCATTAGTTAAGAGGCAGAACACTTGCTCAGCAATCAATCACAAGGCCCTGAATTCAATCCTGAGTACAGCATTTTAATGTATAATATTTACTTTTAATATATTTTAAAACAAATATGTGTATACATATGTGCATGGGGGAAGGATTCCGGTGTATGAAATATTTAGCCAATTTAAAAATGAAAAGTGAGTTGACTTTATTAAGTTATACACTTACTTGCTTATAATTTCAGGACCATTAATTACAGAAATAAAAGCCCCAACTTCATTAGCAATAGCTCGGGCAATCATAGTTTTTCCAGTACCTGGAGGACCATAGAGTAATACTCCTCTAGGAGCAGGAATTCCTAGAGGTAAAAGCAGAGAACAATGAATTACTATGCTACTTAGAAATGTTGTTATACAACTTCAAATACCACAAATATAGCCAGGTGCCAGTGGCTCACTACAGTCCTAGCTTCTCAGGAGGCTGAGATCTGAAGATTGTGGTTTGAAGCCAGCCCCAGCTTTGAAAACTGTCCATGAAACTCTTACTTCAATTAACCACTAAAAAGCCAGAAATGGAGCTGTGGATCACGTGGCAATGCACTAAGCCTTGAGCTCAAAGGCTCAGGGACAGCACCTAAGCCCTTGAGTTAATCACCAGGACCAATCAGCATCAAAACAACAACAACAACAAATCACAAAATTAAAATGAATGAGATACTCCAAGAAAGATATACTATCGCAAACACTGATCCCCATCGATGACGTTTTATTTTTCTGGAGACCACAAACCAGAGAAAGCATGATGGGAAAAAAGTAGGTATCCATACTGTGCCTCATTCTACACAGCACAGTTCAACAATCAGAACACAAAATCCAAGAAGTGGTGGCTCAAGTGGTAGAGTGCTTGCCTTAAACTAAAGAGCTCAGGGACAGTGCCCAGGCCCAGAATTCAAACCACACAACTGACAAAAGACAAAAAAACAAAACAAAACAAAAAAAAAACACCCACAAAATCCAGATAGTAAAAGCCAGAAACTCCAATTTTCTTCCAAGTATAAACAAGTATAAACATGACTAACAAAATATAAACCTAAGGGTTCATTTTATGTGAATAAAGATTTAGGAGAAGAAAAAACATATTGCCATGTACCAAATATTAGCAAAAAATCTAGGACTCAACTACCAAACCCTCATCTACTTCAATCTAACAAGATTTTCATACAGCTACATTTCCTAACAACCAATTTTATACCATTAACATGAATATTTTTTAGTCATTCCAGCTCATTTAACATAAGAAAATAATTATACAAGATTCAATATAAGCAACTGTGAATATATGCTATTTCAAGGGCTATAGCTGTCACTAAAGTACATTATAGCAAGAGAACAAAGCAAAAGGAATAACTTATTCCATTGCCATATCCCAAAGCAATGAATCTATTCAACCAGACCTATCGCTCCAGAAATAAAGACAGATTATTTTGAGTTTCAATACAAGTCTGGGTAACATAATAAAAAATACTATACCATAACGCTTGAAAAGTTCAGGCTGTTTGAGAGGCAATTCAATTATTTTTCTAATTGCTTCCAGTTGACTACTTAAGCCTCCAATCATGTCATATGTTACTCTGAATTGGTTATCTTGCTCTTTTAAATTTGTGCAAGTCTTTGTAAAATTGATCCTTGTTGTTGAGGAAATAAAATAAAAAGTATCAGTATTGCATTTCGGTCCCACGCTGGCAGATTTCAGCAAACTTTCTTCATTGGTGAGCTGCTTATTTCCTTCTCTGGCTGACTTAACACAACATTTAAGACCTGTGATGTCTTCCAGTACAAGGCCACTGCCATCCCCAGAGCTCTGAGCAACATCCAACAAAATGTCACTAGTTGTGTTCACAACTGTGTCCACCACTGGTTTACAAGGAGTACTTCTTGAGGCTGGACTCCGGGGCTCTTCCAGATCTAATTGGCCTAGCTGGAGGGATATATCCAGGCTACTGGATTCCATGCTGGGGCATTCAGAGACCACTTCTTGGGAATCAGTGGCAGCATTGCTCTGAGGCCTTTCCAATATTGTGCCATCTGTCCCTTTCACTTGTAATACTTGCATCTTGCATAGTCGTAAATAGAAGGAACAATACAGAAAGTTGCCTGGTAAAACAACTTTGCCATCTATAAAACAATTTAGCAGATATTCATGTTAGCACTTTTCACCAGCTTAATGTTTTAATAGCAACTGCTTACAATTAACAAAACTGACTGGAAAGATTAAATCAAAGCTGGAGAACTAATACGTAATTTTTTTTATGATACAGCACCAATAAGAGGTAGAAAAGATGATTCTTTCGGAAGTGGCGCTGTAGCTCAAGTGGTAGAGCACTAGCCTTGAGCTGAAGAGCTTAGGGACAGCACTCAGGCCCAGAGTTCAAGCCCCATAACTGACAAAAAAAAAAAAAGATGATTCTTTCAAATCTTCTATCCTCAATGAACCTAAAATTCTATCAACCATTATCAACAAATAGCAAGGAAGTTACATTCACCAATGAGTTAAGCTAAAACGGTAACAACACACCTACATAACACTCCTAAGTGTTTCTCAACAAAAATAGTAAAAGCACAGGGTTCTCGACTTGGCTGGGCACAGTGGCTTAGGCCTTAACTACTTGGGAGGCCAATATCAGGTCAAGATTAGCCCTGGCATAGAAGTTCATGGTACTCCATCTCAACTAATGTCTAGTCATAGCAAGTATGTGCATGTCATTCCCATTAACATAAGGTAGCATAAAAAGGAGGTGCAGAGCCCAGGTCAGCCCAGGCATAAATAAAAACCCTACTTGGAAAATATCCCAAGCAAAAAGGGGCAAGACATAGCTCAAGTGGTAGAGTACCTGCTGGGTAATAAGCCCAGGGCCCTGAGCTTGATCCCTGCAATCACCAAAAAATGTCTTTTTAATCCACAGACAAGTCACATAATCTTGTCAATTCTTCACTGACAGTCACCTTAATGGGAAAACATTCTGTTTCAAAAGGATTTGGATTCATTGAGGGAAATATTTTTAAACTATTTTGAAAAAAAAAGTCTCTATTTACAAGATCCTAGGGGCATTTTATTTGCTGTCTTATTGCTTAAAATTTTAGAAAACAACTTAAAATATTAGTCTTACCAAGTTTCCTCAGAATACAACTAGCCAGGTCTTCTCCACTAATACCCTGATCTTCATCACTATAAAAGGAGGAAAGAAATTACCAGTAAGTATATTTTAAACTATGGTATAAAATGACATGCATATAATTAAGAACCTAATCCAAAGAATAATTGTTTTCGATCTGAAAATAAATGATTGATACCATTCTGGGTGACTACACTTTTTAAATACTTCTTACTTACAGAAAAATATCATCTGTAATCTGGTGCCTTAGAGACTTAAATCAGTTTTCTCTAAAAATAAAGGGTAATAGCCAAGTAGTTCACACCTGTAATCCTACCAACTTAGGAGGCTGAGCCTCAGATGATCACAGTTCAAAGCTAGCCCAGGGAGAAAGTGTGTGAGACTCCATCTCCAATTAACCAGCAAAATGCTGAACTGGTAAAGAAGAAGCATAGGTCAAGTGGTAGAGTGCCAGCCATAAGCAAGAAAACTCAGCAAGAGCATGAGGCCTGATACTGGAACAAAATATAAACAAATAAATATATGTAAATAAATGAGCAAATAAAGGTAGCATCCAATAGTGGGTATAAAATCTTAACAGTCAATCTCATTTGGTACTTTTTACACACATGCACACATGCATATACACACACTCGTGTACTTAGATCCATTATATTATAGGTACACCTGAAATGCACACAATAAATCATAATGATGGTATTATTTCTGTGTGATATCATAGTCAAATGAATTTGAAACACATTCCCCTAAACTAATTATGCCCTTCCTCAAGTTGCCTACCTCTTATCTGATGATTTCCTCAAGAAAATTTAATCTTACATAATAGGTGACCTAAAGAAATTCAAGATGGGCAGGGAAGGTGGCTCAGTGGTAGAGCGCTTGCCTTGCATGCATGAGGCCCTGGGTTCAATTCCTCAGCACTACATAAGCAAAAAGAAAAAAAGCCGGGAAGTGGCGCTGTGACTCAAGTCATAGAGCGCTAGCCTTGAGCTGAAGAGCTGAGGGACAGCGCCCAGCCCAGAGTTTAGGCCCTACAACCGGACCCCAAAAAAAAAAAAAAAAAAAGAAATTCAAGATGTAAAAACGGGAATACTCACTATGGAAACTGATTCTGGAGAATGGGCATGCCTGAAGAAAATTCAAGACACTCATCTTCCTATAATTATGTCTTTTCATGAAAGTGGCTCATTTAACTAGGAAGTAGGTTTACCTAAATATAGAACACTGAACTAGTAAAAAGAAAAAGGGTGTAGGAAGGTGGCTCAGTGGTGGAATGCTTGCCTTGCATGCATGAGGCTCTGGGTTCGATTCCTCAGCAACAGATAAGCAGAAAAAGCTAAAAGTGACATTGTGGCTCAAGTGGTAGAGTGCTAGACTTGAGATGAAGAGCTGAGGGACAGCACCAGGCCCAGAGTTCAGGCCCCACAACTGACAGGAAGAAAAAGAAAAAAATGCAATCTTAAAGAGTTTTTCAAAGCATTTTCCTCCTCTTTTATGTGTAAGCAGCAGTAAAGTCCATGGATCAAATATGTGTAAACTATATATTTTTCAACGTTTAAATTTACTTGTTTATAAGGCTGAAGCAAGTTATAGTTAATCATTTTATTAAATGACTAGAAGATGTTCAAGTAATAGTAAAAGTATTCAGTTTTGCTTTTAAAAAATAGTTATATATTAAATTATTACAACTAAAAGAAGCTCCAACATTACTAATAAAACTTTTTTATTTCAACTAAGAATTTTAGGAGACTACAATTATTAGTACTCCTAATCAGCAACTTATTTGTCTACACTAAAAGTATAACTTTCTAAAATAAAACTTTGAAAGCCAAGATTCCATTTAAATACATAGTCCTCTATCACAAGCATCATAAAGGCCTAACTACTGAAGAGGTCAGAATGGTTCAAAGATTATAACAGAGCTAATTTTAGTCAACTGGGCACTGTTGTCTCACAGCCCTGTTTTAAGACATAGTTTGATGACTAATCTTCTTTATTCAAAGCAGTACTTACTACTTTCAGAAATATAAAGCACATTGAGCCCATTTCTCATTTGTTAAGGAGAAAGAAGGAAGGGGGAAAGAAAGGGGTGAAAAGAAGTAAAGGACCAAGTATGGTAGTGCACACATGTAATTCCAAAACTCAGGAGCTGGAAGGAATTTGAGTTTGATGCCAGGCTGGGCCACATAGCAAGAGGAGGCAGCAAGAGAGTAAATATAGATACCTTGAAGAGTCTTGAGGAAAAAGGGGAAATGTATGTATTCTTATTCTCAACACAGAGATATGCATTCCTATGTATGTGTGTGATACATGTAAAGCATTCTTTCTCTTTCCTTTTCTGCTTTTTCACTTTCATTTCCTGGTTTTCATGCCCTGATCACATTCTCCTGATTTTAAAGGAAAATATGTGTTAAAATTGAAAACTGGAATATATGGTAGCAGAAAAAAACAAAAACAAATAAAATTCAAGATGCTGACAAAATGTTGTGTGAATCTTTCATATAAACACATTCCCAAAACTGTTATTAAGGTGATAATAAACTATCAGAAGGGCTGATTTTTAAAGAAATTTTGATCAGACTTACATATACAAAATAAATCACAAACCCATTACACATAGAATATCCAAAAACCTGGATAAGATACTTTATTCAAACTGGGTGTATGCCTATAATCCTAGCTCAGGATGCTGAGATCTGAGATCAGAGCTAGCCCAGGCAGATATAATTGAGACCTTCTCATTCCAATTAGCCAGAAAGAAGCTGGAAATGGAGGCACAAGGAATTATTTAAAATTCTAATAATGACCTTTTGTTGCACTATGTTAAATACTCAGCTTAAACTAAGGGCCTTTCCTTCTTGCCTAGTTTTTTTCACTCAAGGCTGGTGTTCTACTACTTGACCCATAGCTCTACTTCCAGCTTTTTGATGGCTAGAGATAAGAGCCCCTAGGACTTTCCTGCCCAGGCTGGCTCTGAATTTCAATCCTCAGATCAGAGCCTCCTGAGAAGCTAGATTAGAGGTGTGAGCCACAACAGCTGACCTTGAGCTATTTTAATTTAAAAGTTATTTACTGGGGCTGGGAAGGTGGCTCAGTGGTAGAGCGCTTGCCTTGCATGTCTGAGGCCCTGGGTTCGATTCCTCAGCACTACATAAGCAAAAAGAAAAAAGTCGGAAGTGGCGCTGTGGCTCATGTGGTAGAGCTCTAGCCTTGAGCTGAAGAGCTGAGGGACAGCGCCCAGGCCCAGAGTTCAGGCTCCACGATTGGACCCAAAATAAATAAATAAAATTTATTGTCTACTTAGAGTGAGTTACAATTTTAAGAAGTCCTGATTTTACTATGAGCCCAGATGAAAAATTCTAAGTATTCATCAGTGATAATTCCTTTCAGCTAAATGTCAGGACACTATTCAGACATGAGAACCCCTAGTACATAAATTACATCACACCCATGTAGTTTGTGCTATCTCCCATCACATGTGTCTATCAACTACTGAAAACAGTGCTAATCCAAACTGCTATCTGCTACAAATTTAATGTACACACTGGATTCTGAAGACTTACTTTGAAAATGAAAGGCTATAAAATATCTTACAAATAACTTTTTATGTATATTAAAATAATTTTTTACATTCGTTGACTAAATAGACTAGTAAAACCCATTTCATTTGTTTGCAATTCATTTCTTATTTACTATTTAAGTGTGCCTACTAGCAAATGCAAAAGTACGTGTGTGGTTTACAGTGGTAACTCTCATTATCCCTCTACTAGGCAACATTAATCCATTCAGACGGGTCACCAAAGACAAGAGTCCAACCTCAGAGCCAGGTCCACTTCCTCGGCCTGAACAAGAGCACCCACGAGTGGCTGCACCCGGGTGTTATCACCAGCTGTCACCCCTAGATTCCTCTGTGTCATGTCACTCAGGCCAACCTTGCCTCCAGGAAATCCTGCCACTGGCCAGGCTGTACAAACCTGCCAAGACAGAAGAAATGATAAGATTAGCAAGTAAATATTCATATACACCATGAATTGCTAAGGAAGATTCTAATAAGCACAGCTGGCACATAAATCCATAAAAACATAGTTCTTACCTCAAAACAGTAATAATCTGACACAAACTACAGAAAGATGAATTGCTCCAATGCTTTTTTAATACCTACACTTACAAATAAATCAATTATCTTGCTACTGTATCTTTTGTAAAGGTGAGGAATGAGCTCCTAGTGAAGACAGATTTAAGAAAAAAGATAAAGATATTGCAGATGATATGAAAAGGAGAAAACTACTCAAAGCAAGATAATTTGTGAGGTAACCTAGCCTCAAACTTAAGTTATATGCAGGAAATACTGAAAGACAAAACTAAAGCTTCATGAGAACCTGGATCTCACCAGATTTAAATATTTAAGGAAAGGAGCAAAGATTTCTGGCTCAAGTTCACACATTTATAGTCCTACCTTCCATAAGATAAAGCAAAAGATGCTTTTTTTAAATACAGCATAATCCCAAAACAATAGGAATGACAAAGGTGTTGTTAGCAGACAAGTGATTGCAAAACATTCCCAGAAGATCTGCTGGGGATGAGAGGTAACAGAAGAGAAAACCAAGCTTTCCTCCATGAAGGAACAATTCTAGGCTTGGAATATCTGAGCATAATACATGGCAGGAAAGAGAAACACTTAAAAATCAAGAGAATAAACATTCCTTTTTTTTTTTTTAAATAGTTTGGTTTTGAATTTTTGTGCTAGTACTGGGGCTTGAACTTAGTTTAAATCTGAACTGTTTAGCTTTTTCTTTCTTTTTTTTTTTTT